ACAATACACTATTGGTATCTTGAAATAATATACGTTGTGCTATTTCCTGTCCTTGCCATTCCGGTCCCATCGCTAACGTAAAATTGAACATTTGTAACGTCACATTCTATGGCCCACCTTTTCTTAAACAAAGTCATTAAGAACTACTTTATGCACATTTCATTTAAATATTTTAATATTTTCGAGTGCAGCCTTGCCCAAGCTTGCACTTTTCAATTTGCGTACGGGTGCAATTTGAACTAGCATGCGTTATCCACAGCCAAAACGTGCTTTTATTTTTTTATATTCCAAACATATAAATAGTGGAACATATATACAGTATATATATTTCTGTCTCTCTGATTGTAATGTATAATTATCTATGTAGACTATGTTTATGTTTCATGAGTGTGATGATGACGCTTCGGGTGATAGATTGTGTGCCGTAAAGGCGCCACGTGTATAAGCAAAAATATAATGATCTTTTACGAATTAATATTTACGCATATGTTTGGTGACATGCCTAACATTTCTCGATCTCAACTCTCGTGTCATTGGCTGCATTTTTGTTGATTTGAAGCTTTCGTGACTGCAGGAATCCATACTCTTTGGTTCGTTCTTTCCTCTTTGGTTCTTCTTACGTGACTTTACCGAAAGAACCAAAGAGTATGCATTTTTGTTGTCAAATCTAACTTGATGATCCGGACCCTATTGAATATCGATGAAAAAATAGCTTTAAAGCTCATCAGATTGCTCCAGGATAAACACGACACATCTGCGCGCACGGTAAGTTCTTTGCAAAAAACAAATAACTTGTCGATCGGATAATATTGGAAGATAATATAAGAAAAGGTCAACTATTATAATCTATCGTTCGCACCTCTGCCGGTATAAATATCATGCCTTTAGCTAAACGATTATCCCACGTGCTCTGAATTAGTTTGTCAACACGTGCTGTTATATAAACCTGCCAAAACATGTACATGATGATGATGTACACACAGCATAACAAAAACACGCAACACAGTAATCAATAGTTCTGCACTTAAATAAATTCGGTGATGTTTTGGGCAATGACCCTTCTGCATAGACAAAGACAAAGGTCCCCCGTATAGTCTTAACAGACTATGGGTGCAAGACAGATCACGACTTGTGTTTGCCATATTACGGGATGTATAATGTTTGGCGCTGTGATCGACGTTTCCTCTATTGCGTGAGGCTAAGTTAAACCATACATCACATGTAAATGCATGTCTTTCCTATGTTCCACTGTCAAAATTATGCGAACGTTAGGGTTACATTCGGATGGGCGATCGGCGATGTATGACACGCGTATGACAATTATTCCATGCATTTTTTATATCGTCTCCTTTCGACGACGGAGTTGTCATAATAACCTTGGCCAATTCCAGAAAATGTGATTAGCTATTAGCGTATGCATATTTTACAATTTTAACGCTATCGTTACAACTTTAACGGTGCTGTTTGTTTTCTTCGAAACCGTGATTAAAATATGTATTTACTCCATAATAGAGGTTTTTTTTGGGTTAGATCGCGTAAAAATATAAATGCCTCGTTAAACCCGCCACCATCCGACACAGCCGAACTAGTAAGGGGTCTAATTAATAAGGTTTCTCACGTAAACAGAACATGGCAATTCGTAACTAGTACAGCACACCGGTCTGATGGAGCGTCAACCCACAACATTTACCATTACATTATGTATATATACATTGTACATACAATTGTACAATGTATATATATAATCGTGAGTATATTAATACAATTCTCGAAACGCATCATCACAGCCGCACGGTTCACACACACACACATATAGGTATATAAACAGATAACTTGACGGGCCATATATCACCCGGCATTCTTCCAAATGAACATTGTGAGACGAATCCCGAGTAAAATCGTGACTTATAATCCAAGGAGACCTCGCGTCTAATGCCAATGCAGTTAACCAAAAATAAACAATATATACGGTATATAGATTGAGACTTGCGAATTACAAAGTATATCGCGTGCGCCTGCCAGTCTCTCTTTGTACTGACAAAGATTTGACATTGAGAGTTATTGACTGTAGGGGGACAGCTACTGTTAGCGAGCACCTATTAAGGCAAAAAAATTGGGGGGGGGGGGGGGTTAGTTATAATTAGGGCTATACGGAGTACCCTTAACTGAATTTACGATTACAACAGCGATTGCAAATGAATTACGAGTCACACAATTACAATTGTACTTGAGCATATGTCTGTTATATGTATGTATATAAGATAAATTAGGTGTGTGTAAATATATACGATACATGCATATGTCAACTTGGAAAAAGATGATATACATTTAGCGTTGAACACACACACACAGCATTAGGAAGCAAAGTATTTGCAATCATTGATTTACGCAAAAGTTAATTATTTAAATTTCTGCAGCCAACAATAATATTAATCTCTGCCACACACACAGACACACATTAATTTCTCGTACCATCCGTGAAATAAGCCGACAATGTTTATACACTTCAACTAACACAGACATCGCAAATTATAGCACCATACAATTCGAAAAGAAGTTTGCCTACTATGACTGCTCGACAATACGATCGTGGCACGCTCCGACTTACAGCGACTTGGTTAACGTGACGATACAGGGGCAGCTGCCACAAGGAAGGTGGAGGGAGGATGCCCAAAGGCTAAAAGCCGATGTTATGGACGCAATATAAACGCGTGCTGTTATGATTATTGTTGTATTCACAGCGGGAGAACAATCTACACTCGAGTATAACGGAGGCTGCGATCAAATAACCGCCTCCATTCCGTGGGGAGGGCCTTCGTCCAGCAGTGGATTGAATATGTGCCGTGACAATCATTGTTGTTCTGCTGATGGTGATGATCGAGATGACTATTGTTTATTGCCGGTAATGTTTCGATGTGACAATGAGTTTGAGCGCCCTCTTGCGTCAAGCAAAAATATTAAGGACACAAATTTAAAAAAACGCGATAATATCTGGGTAGAGAAAACATGTTTTTATTATTATTAGAATTTGTACAAAAGTGGAATTTGAGGCTTTTTCTTATAAGATATATAACAAAAGTGCTGTGATAACAATGCGACTGCAGTAGAAGAGCCCCTACACATTTACGAAGAAGACAACACAAACAAGATTATCATCATCATCTTTACGATCGTGGGCGAATTGAAACTGCGTTTTTCTTTTTAATAATACACGTTAAGTGAATTCTGTTATCATACATCAACATCTTTAAATATATTTATATTCGCATAGATACATATTCGTAAAAAGTACCGCCTTCTCGTGGACCTAAAAACGATTAACCACAGCGAATCGGATTTAAACAAATTGGATCTCTAACTCTTTATAAAGCCCCTAACGATAGGCTTTACTAAATAATAATATACTGAGCCCGGTTTCATGGGTTGTTGTGTGTGTGGTTTTTAAACAGTATATATGTTGTTATCCAGATTAAAAACAATAACAAGAAGAGGAAAATCTTGTGCCAATATTAAGTGGTAAATAATGTGTTGATAAAAAAAACTGAACTGCATTTCTCATCACATCCATGAGGCTCCCGTTCGGAGCACAGTGCGCGTGTCAGGAGGTGCAAGCACGTTCATTGAGTGTGGTTATCATGAGTGGTTAGTATACAATACTATATATGAAACGGCGACCATATTCTACCGAAATAATGATTCACATTTTGAACAGGAAGTATAGAATAACACGTTTTGAAACGATGGCGTGTCACCAACAAAACACATCGTGGCATTTCTAATTGTTATATATATGTAAAAAATAAAAAAAATGCATCCTTTCAATAAAGGATATAATGATACGGTAAATATATTTTACGTGGACAAAGGGAGTGAAAAGGTAAAGCGAAAATGAAACTTACAGTTGGTTATGGAATGACGGCATCGCTTCTTTGTTTGGGACGAGAGGGCGAAAGAAATAATTAAAGCAACTTTAAGAAGCCGGACTAACATTTCTCTCACTTCCCGAGGTAAGGTCAAACTGGAATGTCATTGTCCGAGCATAACACCTAACTTCTTTTAAAAACAAAATAAAACACACATCGACCACTTCGAAGTCAGGGGTATCACAAAGTAATAATAATGTAACATTCGCTCTTTTTTAGGAATATGGTCAGCCCCTATCATCTGTGCGCCCGTCACAAAGGGAATCCATCGGTCCAAACGCTTCCCGCAACAGCACACCAATGTCTTCCAATGTTCTTGACGTTGTTGTTGTTGTTGTTGGTTCATTGTCGTCAAGGCTTCATTTGTCACTCGATAGTATGTCTGTCTGTTTGTTTGTTTCTCCGGAACGCTGCTGGACAGGCAGGCTGGCTGGCTATCTGCTTTGTAGTCGGGAGATGTATCGGAGTTAAGGCACTACGACTTCCACTAGAGTACGAGGATACAGCGCCTTTGCATAATAACCCCGTATCACCGTATTGCGTTATTGTCATTATACCGTATATTCATATAATCATATGAAAACGGGATATTCAATACTGCAGGAGCACGAGGAAACAATCAAGGTGAGATGATGGATGTGGCGAGATTCCAAGATAATTCACGGAACAGCGTTCGGGACCGTTCCGGCTGAAATGAAGCACTGATTCCTCGTCCTGCGTGATTAGGTCCACACAATCTGACTCCACTGGATGTAACCCAAGATGCGACCGAGCCCGTTTATGCTATGTTTGCCAATATATGTGTGTATATATATATACACATACTGAACTATGTATGCGAATCTGCTTGCAGTTGCCGGTAACAAACAAAAAACTAAAGTTGAGCATTACGTTTTTTTGGCGGCACGGAAAGAGTGATTTAGGTGTTGCTGTTTTGGCACGAGTTGAATGTTGAATCACGCAAACAGCTACGTGACTATATTCTTAGCTCTTTCGGTAAAGTCACGTTGAAGGGAAACAATAAAATATATATATATAAAACAATACATATATATTATTATTTTATTTTTTTCCCTTCAACGTGACTTTACCGAAAGAACTAAGAATATGAATTACAGCAGTCACGAAAGCTTCAAATCAAAATGTAGCTACGTGACTGTCCCGTGGCGCAAAACCACCTCCGCAGCCACGCACACGCGACTCATCCTCGACCAGGTTCTCCATACTGACATCCTCCCCACTCCTATCATCCTCTCCCTATCCATCCTTCCCCTACCGTCAACCCTGTAAGGCACCTACAGATGAGGACATTACTTATTACCCATCAACAACATCAATTATAATAATTAGTATAAGGAAACCCCCCCCCCCATCCAACCGCCCTTCCCCCCTGCTTTACTGTGATCTCGAGATATTCATATATCGAGACGGCTGTGAAGTCCACCGTGCTGTTTGTCCGGGTCCCAGTAGCTGGAGCAATGCATCATGCTGGACAGGTGGTCGGTCTGCCGCGAGCAAGCAAACTGCAGCCCGTTGGCCGTTCCGCCGGTGCCGGCCCCGCCGGGACTCAGCTGCTGGTGCGAGTGCGGATGGGAGCCGTGGCCGTACGAGTTGAGCACCCCGCCCGACAGAGACACGGCCGGCACCCGAGGGTAGGGGCTGTAGCTCGCGGCGGCTGCGGCCGCGGCAGCGGCGGCGGCGGCCGCCGCGGCGGCCGCGTGCCCGGAGAGGTGATGCCCGCCGGCTCCCGGTACCGACGATCCGCCGCCACCACCTACTACGGGAACACCCGAGGTCACCACACCACCGCCGCCAGCACCGCCACCTCCGATACTGCCTCCTCCTCCTCCGAGCCCCGTGCCAATGCCACCACCACCACCACCACCTCCTCCTCCACCACCACCACCTATGCCACTGATCGCTCCGGTTCCCGCCGACGAGTGGTGATGATGGTGGTGTTGCTGCTGCTGCTGTTGCTGCTGTTGCTGCTGCTGCTGTTGCTGCTGTTGCTGCTGCTGCTGCTGGTGATGATGGTGCGCCGTCAGCTGATGGTGCGCGTGATGGTGCGCGTGGTGGTGCGGGTGGTGGTGCGGGTGGTGGTGCGCGTGGTGGTGCGGGTGGTGGTGGTGGGCGCTCAGCTGGTGGTGATTGACGCCCCCGTTCTGGCAGGGAGAAGAGTAGCTGGCGGCGGCCGCGGCGGCCGCGGCAGCGGCGGCCATGTGAGCCGGGGTCTGAGACGGCAGTGACCACGCCGAGTTGAAGGTGGGCTGCAGGTACTTGCCCGGCCCGGCCGATAGGTAACCCGCGTAGGGGCCTTCGTTGTTGAAGAATTGCCCCGCCGAGTAGGGGCTCGGCGGCGGTCGGAAGGGCCTCTTCATGCGCCTCCGTCGACGATAGTTGCCCTTCTCGAACATGTCCTCGCACGCGGGGTCAAGCGTCCAGTAGTTTCCCTTCCTCTCGCCGCCGCCCTCGCGAGGCACCTTCACGAAGCACTCGTTGAGGCTGAGGTTGTGGCGGATGGAGTTCTGCCAGCCCTTCTTGTTCTTCTCGTAGAAGGGGAACTTCGAGATGATGTACTGGTAGATGCCGCTGAGAGTCAGCCGCTTGTCCGAGCTCTCGCGGATCGCCATGGCTATGAGCGCCACGTAGGAGTAGGGCGGCTTCTGCGAGGGGTCCGTCTTGCCGCCGTCTGCATCGACACCGCCGCCGCCGCCTCCTCCTCCTCCTCCGCCGCCTGTAACGCAGTTGATCCCCAGGGGCGGTTTGCAGTCGGGGCTCTCCCTGTCGCGCTCCGGGCTCGATTGATCCGAGCCCATGTCCACCAAGCCGTCGACATCTCTGCTCGCGAAGGTAGCCATAGACAGGCGTCGTCAGTCGCACCGCTGCGCAACCCGGCCGTGTCGGCTGTCGCTCCTGGGCACGTCTCTGTCTGCGTGAATTACAGCCGCTGCAAGTGAGCCTCTTTCCTTTTTGTACACGTGAAATTTGTAAGGCGCCGCGTCTACTGTGTACGCGTATGCTTGCGCGGTTGCCGTGATGGGGATGATGATGGAGGCTTGTATGGAATTCGCGCTATCTGTGTGTGTGTGAGCATGTACTGCTTGGCCTAGAGTGTGCCTCCTATCTCTGTGTGAGTGTTCACTGCCTGGTTAGAGTACGCTATGGCCTCTCTCTGTGTGAGTGTTCACTGCCTGGCTAGAATACTCTGTGGCCTCCTCTCTCTCTCTTGTGTGCGTGTGTTCACTGCAGCAGCGACACGGGGCGTTGCTGGACACCAACCCGCGCGGGAGGAGGGAGGATCGGCGTGTGCGGCCGGGCTTGTTCGGGTCGCGCGAAGTTATCGCAACACCCTCGTAGCCCGCCAGCCAATGAGGCAGTGATCGTCACGAGTTACGCCGATGAGTTGGAGTCTGCGGTGGTTGCTGGTGGGTGGAAGGGGGGAGTGGTGGTGGTGGTGATGGGTGGGTGGGTGGTGGGGGTAGTCGTGAAAAAAATAGCCAAGCACCCAATGGCGAGGCAGGCTGCGGATAAGTCGGTTCAGCGCGTGTCCGTGCGGAGAAAACCTCAGGATCGACGCCGAGAGACGCAGAGACGCAGAGAGCTCGCGTGCAGGCTAACACTCTGCGTATTGTGCTGTGCGCGTGCCTCTCTGTGTGTGTGTCGGTGTGTTGTGTGTGTCGGTGTGTTGTGTGTGTCGGTGTGTTGTGTGTGTCGGTGTGTTGTGTGTGTGTCGGTGTGTGTCGGTGTGTCAGTGTGTTGTGTGTGTGTCGGTGTGTTAAGTGTGTGTGTGTCAGTGTGTTGTGTGTGTGTCGGTGTGTTGTGTGTGTGTCAGTGTGTTGTGTGTGTGTCGGTGTGTTGTGTGTGTGTCGGTGTGTTGTGTGTGTGTCGGTGTGTTGTGTGTGTGTGTGTCGGTGTGTTGTGTGTGTGTCGGTGTGTTGTGTGTGTGTCGGTGTGTTGTGTGTGTGTCGGTGTGTCAGTGTGTTGTGTGTGTCGGTGTTTTGTGTGTGTGTCGGTGTGTTGTGTGTGTGTCGGTGTGTTGTGTGTGTGTGTGTCGGTGTGTTGTGTGTGTGTGTCGATGTGTTGTGTGTGTTGTGTCGATGTGTCGGTGTGTTGTGTGTGCAGGGGGCGCGCTGCGTTACGAACCTGGCGCCATCCGAGTTCGATTCCCCTGCTCGCGACCAATAACAGTGGCGACCATTTGAACCGGGCCCCGGGGCTTCCCTCCCCTAGGTCGACTCAGCCTTAAATGCGTGACCTGGTGCGATGTGTAAACATCGCACATTTAGAGGGGAGAAAGGCGGCCGGGCGTGGTGCTGGCCGGACCCACCGCCTTGTGTGCCGTGGCTACCTTCATAGGTGCTCGCATAACAGCACTTGCCCCAAGAGCCTTGTCAGCCGCGGTGGTGGGGAATTGAACACGGGACGGGCTTCGGAGCGCAGCGCGATCACCACAACGCTACCGCACTCAAAACAAAGGTCACCCGCGTAGCCTCAACAGACTGTTGGGGCAAGTGTTGTTCGCGAGCACCTGTCGGGGCGGGCGGAGCGGGGGCAGCACCACGCCCCGGCCACCTTTGTCTCCCCAGTGGCGGTGTTTGCACACCACACGAGGTACTCATTTTAGACTGAGTTCGACCTATGGGGAGGCCTAGGACCCGGTGGTTCAGAAAATCCTTGCTGGCGTTGGTGGCCGTGAGCGGGAATCGAACTCGGGTGGCCGGGGTTCGTAGAGCAGCGTAGCGCTAACCGCTACACCGCCGCTCTCCATACAACACACGTCGCTCTAAGATCACTGTGCATCGTACGCATGTTCCTTGAACTTCTTCCGCACCGTACGTTATAATCGGAGGATCTGCACCGACGGGACGGAGAGAGCTTGGACACAAACTCAACGAATACAGCCAACAGCCGCTGCACATCGGTAGAATGGACCGTGGTAATAATAAAATCGCTTTATAAAAGACACACGCGTATACATTGTGACACGGGAGAATGTTGCTCTGTTTTACGTATCAGCCAATGATTGGAAAGAGCTCCCCCTTGACATAACGGATGATTTTTCAACCGACATCAATTTATATATCCACATGTATTTTTCTAAAAATGTTATTTGGAATAAGCTTGACCTGTCATAACTTTAGCATTTTTTACAATGTGATATAGTGAGTACATTCCTATTGTGTACAATATTGTTATATATATTTTTGGTTCTTTCGGTAAAGTCACGTAGAAGGGAAACAATAAAATAATAAACATAAAACAATAAAATTCTCACGACGTTTCGACTGCAACACAAGCAATCATCATCAGGTGTGAAAACCACAGCAAGATTTTTTTTTATTGTTTCACTTCTACGTGACTTTACCGAAAGAACCAAGAATATGAATCCCTGAAGTCACGAAAGCTTTAAATCAAAATTACAATGTTGTTGTTTGGCATGGAACAAATGACCCCATTGAGGATGGGAGTCAATGAACTCAGCTTATACCTCCACGACAAAGACAAAGGTCCCCCCGGTATAGCCTTGACAGACTTTAGGGGGCAAGTGCTGTTCGCGAGCACACACACGCACGCTCGCGACTCGTAAATCCGTGAGACTTTCAAAATGCACATTTTGTAGAAGTTGACATTTTCGGCAGCAAAGAGGGAAGGAAGGAGAACGATTTTTTGCCGACGGATGCTAAATTTGTTTAGAAATCACAACATCGTGGTGTGCGGTAAGAGTAGAAATACATTCCTTTAAAAAAGTAAACAAGTTATTAGGTGATACTGCTGCTGCTACTACGTTGGCAGTGGGACACAAGTACAAACAACAACGGACACTAGACACACTCGTTAACAACGCTGCCTTAAACAATAAGCGGCGACGATTCGAGCAATGGCCCATCTTCAGGGCACTTTTTATAGTGCAACGGTACAGAAATGAATCGCATCTGTAATATAACCACCACGCATTTTCTCTCTGGAGTTAAAGCGGGCCGAACGTTTAATGTGTGTGTATATATGTGTATGTTTGTTTTACAAGATTGAATGTCACGCGCGAAGTTCACATTGCAAGAAGGCGAATAGCCGGATGAGTTTGTAGAGAGAGAGAGAAAGACGGGGTCTAATTTTACTGAGCTCTGTAAGCAGAAGATGATTGACAACGGTTGGAATATATCCTAGTTTGTTTAACTTTCGGTGCTTCGCCAGCGAATTACATTCCGGATCTTTTTTTTACCAAAAGGGCTTTATGTATATATATACAATGTACACGTGTGTGTATATATATGTCTACAATGTATCGTGGGGAGCGGTAGTGTAGCGGTAAGCGCGCTGAGCTATGAACCCGGCCAACCGAGTTCGATTCCCGCTCACGTCCAACACCAGTGACGATTATCTGAACCGGTCTTGGGCCTCCCCTAGGTCGACTCAGTCTCAAATAGGTACCTGGTGCGGTGTGTAAATATCACTGGGGAGACAAAGGCGGTCTGGAGTGGTGCTGGCCAACCCATCCCCTCTCGTGTACCGTTCCGGCCTTTATAGGAGCTCGCTAACAGCACTTGCCTCTACAGTCTGTTCAGACTATTCGGGGGATCTTTGTCTTTTTTTGTCTACAATGTATATGCGCGTACAATGTGTTCACGTAACACACTTCGTACGAAGATGGAACAGAAACGGGAAAGTGTATCCGCGAGTATAGCTCGAGAAGCACGCTCGTTATGAGAGAGAGAGAGAGGAAGACTAAAGAATATACTCGGGCTAAAGTGCACACATGACACATACAAACCTACACAAACACAATTATAAGACGCACCGGAAAGTAAGACGGCCCCGTAAGCTTTGTGTTCGCTTGTCAATACAAGTTATGCAAATCTGGTCGCGCACACAAACACAAATGACAACGATGCCTCGTGTAGCCTTGACATAATGTTGGGGACAAGTGCTGCTAGCGAGTAGCACCTATGAAGGCCGGAACGGCACACGAGGGCATGGGTGACCGGCACCGTGCCCAGCTACATTTGCTTCCACAGTGGCGAAGTTTTCACGCATCGCACTAGGCATCAATTGAGGCTGAGTCGACCTAGGGGTGGCCCAGCACCGGTTCAGTAAATCGGCACTGGTGTTGGCCGTGAGCGGGAATCGTCGGGCTTGCATCGCAGCGCGCTAACACTCCCGCACACGTATATACCCACACTGTACTCACACACACACAATCACAAACAAAATGGAACAAAAAGCTGTAAAGTGTGTAAATAAGCAACGGAGAGAAAGAAAAAGCACGCGCGTGTGCTCGGAAAGACATCAAGGGACAGAAAGAGGAACACGTGCGCAGGTTAAAGATGTCATTTTGACTGTTCAGAAAAATGAGCGGGCTAAAAACATTTTTTTAAAAATTATATTTATAAACGTTAAAAGTGAGAGGGGCTCAAATATATCTATATGTAAACAATATAAGTGAGCGGGCTAAAATATGTTTATAAATTGTAAATATAAACAATGAAAGTGCGTGGGCTTGCGCAAGGACACGTGGTCGAGACTGGCAACGGAGCTCTATCCAAGGCAAGGCGTTCGCTCAACTTGATGGAGGGAGCGATTCAATAATTTCCGTGCAACAGGTTTTATAGATAGGTGCCCGGTCTACGGTTACATTGGCAGGCCCGTGAGAGCGAGCGACGGCTTGGGGGATTCCTCCATCCAGCAGTGGCTGGATCACGGCTGTTGATGCTGCCGATGACGGGTACAATCACGTAACAATAGAGTGATGATTGCATGGGAATGGCGACTTTCACGCAAGCTTTGGTAGTTGTGGATCGCCGTGTTTTTTGTCGGATTCTAAGAGGCGACTGACAAGTAAGACGCATCCAAAACGCGTGCCTGGTGTCAACAAAGTATTACAAAATGCGGTCACTAAAGCAAAGACAGCGATCATTGTAGAGCCTTCAACAGGACGTTGGGGCAAGTGCTGTTAGCGAGCACCTATGAAGGCCGGCACGGCACACGAAGGGGTGGGTGGACAACACCACCACGCCCGGCCGCCTTTGTATCCCCAGTGCTGACGTTTACACACTCACACCAGGTGCTCGTGTGAGGCATTAATAGGTGCTCCCTAACAGTACTTGTCCCAACAGCATGTACAGTGAGGGAAAAAAAAGTATTTGATCCCTTGCTGATTTTGTATGTTTGCCCACTGACAAAGAAATGATCAGTCTATTTTTTAATTATAGGTTTATTTGAACAGTGAGAGACAGAATAACAACAACAACATCCAGAAAAAACGCATGTCAAAAATGTTATAAATTTATTTGCATTTTAATGAGGGAAATAAATATTTGACCCCTCTGCAAAACATGACTTAGTACTTGGTGGCAAAACCCTTGTTGGCAATCACAGAGGTCAGACGTTTCTTGTAGTTGGTCACCAGGTTTGCACACATCTCAGGA